CCCCTGACTCCTAGCTCAGGTGGATTGCATGCATCACTTATGCACAAATCAGCAATATGCCAGCAGGGAGGAATTATGTCCGATGACAGCCCAGACATGAGGTACATATTGCAGAGCCGGCGAGCCCCAGCCGCCGTGACAGATTGCAGCATGGGGCTGCGCGCTGGTGCGGGAGCGGCTCCCGGCTGCACCGTCCCCGAACACACCCGGCTTCTGCTGCGGAGCCACCGGCATCTCGCCTCTGCTGCTGCAGGATGGGGCGGCACCCCGACCCTGTCCCCATCCCCACACCTGCCCCCCTTCCTGTTGCCGTCCCCCGCAGAGCCGTCGCCCGGGCTGCCCCAAGGGGCCGATGCTGGCGCCAGGGTGAAGGAGCTCCTGCGCTTGTGCAGGGCAGGGCGATGGAGGCAGGAGGGCACGGGGCTGGGAAGGGCACTGTGGGCGCGCTGCGCGTCGCACCCGGGGCGGGGAGCGGCGAGACGGCCTCACTCTGCCCACCCCATGGTGGGGCAAAGCCCCGCTCAGCCCAGCCCTGCCTCTAACATTTAACTTGCCTTAGTCTGTGATCCTGAAAAGCTTAAATTAATGACAGCCTTGCAGTTGCTCATTAATAATTGCTTCATTACTGTATGCGATTGCGTTCTCCTGACAATAATGGCGTTTGCTGGTGTATTTCTAATTATCTGGCATTTCAGCTCCCTAATAGAGCCCCAGCGCTCCCTGACGTGAAACCCTCCTCTTCAGCGGGAGCACAGCCCAAGCCCACCGGCAGCCCCGCCGCCGCCCCGCGGTACGTGTGCTTCTTCACTGGCCGTTCCTGGGAAGACACCTGAACTCCACTGGCAAAAAGTCCCGCGCAGGCCTCGGAGGCACCGCACCGGCCTGCTGCTGAGACCTGCCGCGCTCGGGCCGAGCTCAGCCGCCTCTCCCGTCGCACGCCAGGGTGATGCTCGTGCAAAAGTCAGTTTGTGAGCAATGATGTAGGGCACGTCGGCCAGGAGCTCCAGTGAGCAGGGTATGTGCTGTGCCTGTGGCAGGGGGGGCTCCGTGTGGCCACGCCACGGCAGCCCCAACGGCTATGGCAG